AGCATTTCGTACAGTGGCGTTCACGACAGGCCTAGTAAGGACAAGGTCAAGACAACCGTTGAACACATTTTTAAAATCAGTAAAGTTTATTCGACAAATATTTCAAAAATTGGATCAACTTCAATGAGAATCACAGATTATGCAAATATAGTTGGTCCGAGCACTGCGGAGGGGTATATTTTCAGGTTCCCCTTAAAATGAGTTCAACCGCAACCAACTCCTAAAAGTCAAAGAAGCGCCCGTGAGGCTGTTGTTGATCTTTGTCTGATCAGAGACTCCAAAATCAGTACACTCTTATTAGTTGGTAAACATTCACCCAGAACCTCAATAAGCAGAGGCTCTGTAACTACGCTGAGTACGAAATCCTTGCGACTTATTATGCCATCCTTGTCCTTATCAAAGAGATTTAACACAGTGTCGACCATGTCCGTCTTCAGTTCATCGGCGTCCTCTTCTGGCAGCCTTGCGATGAGAACATCGCGCAGAAAGAACTGGATGTCCTCCTTGGTAAGAAATCCCCGTCTGTGGTGATCGTAAACAGTGAAGGCGAAGTTCGTCATCTGCATAAATGAACCTCGCAAAAATATGTTAAGCGCGTAGATCCAGTCATCGTAAGTGAGGAGAGGATTGGCACTTGCGGTAGTAAGTGCTTGAAAAATGCGCTCCATCATGGCGTCATTCGTAAAATCGAAGAAGTTGAAAAGAATGTCTTTGAAAATCATTCGATTTATGGGCGATTTGTACTTCTCAACGATCTTGTCAAAAATGCGAAGTAAACCCTCGATTTCGATTCGCGTGAAATTAGTCTTCTTTTCGAGTTCAACAGACTTGTGGTAAAGGCGTTCCTTTAGAACACTGTGGCAAGGGCGCCTTTCCACCGCGTTGGACAGTCGCCTTCTCATAGCCATCTTTCATTAAACTTCAGCGCGCGCGAGCCCACTGTTGCTGATTTGCGTGACCCAAAAATCGATAAAGTTTAACATGAATTTGGTTTGGGCAAAAGTCGCACAGGTTTCAGCGCTCTCACCCACGATACACTTTGAAAATAATAAAACCTTTAAAAAGTTTACATTCCATTATTTGTGTTAAAAAATAAACATAAGATAACATGCTAATGTGATTGAGGTATTTGAAGAAGAACATGCTCGTTTTAAAGCGGGGCGACCACCATGGCAAAAAAGCCTAGATTTCACACAAAATGTTCACCGGACTTGAGTTGCTGGGCTTTTACGCGGTACAAAGCACTCGCTAACTTCCAGAATGATGATTGATATGTACTAAGTTTTGATTCCAGCGTGACTTTGTGGGAACGTGGCTTTTACAAAAAGCAGAAAATCATGAAGTAAAAAACCTTACTATACCAACAACTCAGCGTATGTTTTGATACTAACGGAAATTAATTTCACTGGGCATGGCTAGGTTGACCAAAGAGAATGGAGACTTTCGCAAATGGAGACTCGAGGGCGGGGACTGGCTTCAAATAGGGATTAGTTAATAATTTAGAAAAAATGTGCTTTGAATGGGTCGGAGAGGAAGAAGATTTACCAGAGTCAGAATACAACTGGAGAAGTAATCATAGTAGATAGGTATGAGGTTAACTTCGTTAGGCTCTCTGGTGTTCTATAGTTTGGATAGCAGAACTAAAGACTTCTACAAGATACGGACTGAGATAAGGCCCTCCATGCACTGACAAAAGATTCGCGCACTGTCAATGTAAACATACGTTGACTACTAACCACTCAATTAAATTTAGTCGAAAATGTGGGCGAATTTATTGAACTAGAGTTATTTGGGTGAGGTTAAGGTACTTTACCTCAGTTTGTGGTTTTTCAAAAATCTGCCTACTTATTTTACTCAGGTAGCTGTTGTTCATTATAGTTTGCCTGACAATAGGGCGCGAAGGGGGCCATGCGATGGGCGAATTTTGACCTTCAGTAGGGCTGTTAACGTGGAAGTTGCGCGTATCAAGCTCAAGTTTAGGGCTACGGTTAGGGTGTAGGATAAGTGCTAGGAGTTGGATTATTATTAGGGCTACAGTTGTCCGACTTGGGTTGTGATATGGATTTAGGGTTAGGCCTTGGCTCGGGATTTTCGGCTTAGGGCTTGGGTTAGGTTCTAGGCTAGTGTTTTAGAGTTTGCTATTAGAGTTCGAGCTGTGGAGTTATGTTTAAAGTTTTATAGTTCGAGTTAAGGTTACAGTTTCATCTGAGTTTTCCTTAAAGGTTTACGGGTTAATGAGTAGAATTACGTATTACAGACGCGGCCATAGTTGGCGATGGGATTGTAGTTGACAAAAGTTTCCCCCGTGGGGTTACATAACCTAACGTTGGGTAAGCTCAAGATTTACAAATGAGTAACGAAAGAAAACTATTGCTTACTACCGTGAACACAAAATTGAAGATGCGTAAGGGTTAAAGCTTATATTTAATTATGCATAATACTAAGATCACAGGTACTAGCTAAAAATCCATACATACGTTACACCGGTGTCGTACCACAGCAGTGTTCATGCACAGAGCCTTAAAACCCCGAGGCGCAGATACGATTTAGTGGAGAAGGGGAAAAACACCAGTAAAAGTCATGCATTTTATGTACAAAACTCGGTAGTGGTCAGGCGACGAGATAGGCGGCAAGCCCCGAGTCTGCATGCCTAAGTGAATAAACGTCCTATGGGCTTAGTTAATGTCCGCTTAATCAGCTGATTGACTGATAGAAGTTTGGGTTGTCTCCGATTGGCTGTTCCAGAGGCTGTGCGCGTGCACTTTCCGACAGTTCGTGAACTGTGATCACATGACCTCCAGCGCGTCATGGGCGTCAGAGTCGGAAGGAAGATGAACTGCGTCTAACCTTCTGCGTAGAATTGCGCAAGCGCGCTGTGCGCTGATACGATACTTCATGTAGGCTTTTTTGATTATTTAACCGTTGTGGAATCGTTGTTATTCATTTATTTATTGTATTTAGAAATTCTGACGATTAATATTCTATTGAGTTTCCTTTCCTACATTGTAAGTTAACTGATTAAGGGCAACTCAAATATTGGTGTGCACGAAATGCAACCTAAAAACAAATTACAAAAGAGCGAAGATCTCATTATTTATAACTTATTTTATTGAGGACGCATTTACTGAACTGCTAGGGTAAGGGTTAGGGCTAGGATAAGGGTAAGGGTTCGAGTTTAGGGTTAGGTTTTAGGGTTAGGGTTTAGGGCTTAGAGTTAGGATTAGTTTAGGGGTTAGTGTTAGTGTTAGCTTTTGGGGCAAGAGTTTTGGATTTTGTAATTGGTTTACGGGTTGCATTCACTGCACATTAATGTTCCCCTGCTTGTGTTATCCAATTATTTTATATCAAACAATAGGAAAACCCATTATTTTTTATTTATTATTTTCCCGATTATGCCGAATACAAAAATTACCAGATTCCGCAAGCTTTCATGCATGCGAAAATTATAAATCAAGGTAGCCAATCAGCGCACGGTATGTTTTATGCACCAAGGTGACATATAGGCCTTTTTTATTTCTGGCAAATGCCTCCTCGGTCGGTTTCGTGCACTGGACGCCAGTAACGGATGGTTGTATCACCTATTTGAAAAAACGATTGGTATATTTGTGCGTAGTATGCCAACAACGTGCTTCCATATAATTTTAATTTAACTTACCAAATACTTACCAAGAGCATGACGGCTTTGCACTGCATAAATGTGTGTATGTATAAAATGTGAGCGGGTTCATTAGGTCCCACAATATACGAAAATAATAATAGGACCGATGGATTTTACTTCGTGTACTTTAAAATTCGCGGGGGGTTCTAGAGCGCAATCCCCGCGATCTAGGAGAGACCACTATGGGCTCCAGTGGCAAGGGAAAAACGTAAAGGAAATTAAATATTAAAAAGTTTTAAACAATAATTATTTTTTATGGCCACTAGAAGTCGGCTCGGATATTCCTATAAACTTTCTGTCTACGCCTATAGACTGATTTACTTCAAGTGAGCGATTAATTTTTGAGGAAATTAAATAGCAACACATTGGACAAGTATTTTTGATGATCAGTAAGGCATAGAAACGACAGGATGTCAGGTTGGATGCCGGCCAGGAAAATCTAGCTTTAACCAAACCACGAGGAAGTAAGCGCAGCGGAGAACCGTAAGACGGTATTGACTACAACTCATTCTTGAAGTAAAAGAAGGCGAAGGCCCATCAGAAGATATTGGAAAAAATAGCCCAAACAATAAGTTGTTTCTGCACTTGAGATGTACAAAACGAAGGTCAACTTCGTGGCAATTCAGTAGGAAGAGCCTAGATAGAAGTACGCTTTGTCAGAAAGAGAGTACAGAGGTGTATTCGGCGAGCATACGTAAGTTTTCGACAAATTCTCCCCGGACCATTACATTTATATGGGAAGGACGTAAAAGGTAACATACGGGCAATTATGTTCACAATTACACCCACCAAACTACTCAAAGTCGCTGGGTCAGCGTTTGCTAGAAACAGTAGTAGCAACCGCGATACGATTGAAGAAGCCGGTTCTGTGGGCGCAAAACAACCTTCTGCGAGTTTCGAGCTTGGCATGGCCAGCGGTTACAGAACTGTCTGCATCTTTCTGCGCTTTCTCTCCCTTCCACCCGTCTCCCCCCTGTCCGGATTCAACAAACCCTCATTTCCTCGTAATCAGCCGAGTACTTTCAACCCCCCCTCCCAATTTCCCTGATTAATTTGCCCGGAGTGATGAACATAATGGCCCGCATGTTACCTTTTACCTCCTTCCCATATGAATGTAGTAGCCCGAGGAGAATTTATCGAAAGCTTACGTATGCTCGCCAAATACTCTTCTGAATTTTCTGATGGGAATTTTTGCAACCTTAAAAGAAAGGCAATAATTGGACTTTGACAAGCGACTACGTCCAATATTTTGTCCTGTGAAGTGGTCCCGGGTGCGCTGACTTTTGAAATCACTAGATCTAGTGGCAAGGTGGAGGTAAAATGGCTACAGGTAGGCGCGGATGTAATGGTCGATAAATCTGACCCGCCCGTTTAAGCGTTTCTTACACCACTCAACCACAATTAAGCATTTTTAACGTTTACTATAAGGGCATCTTGAGTCTCGCACCGGCGAGAGTGTTCCACTAAAAATCAGCCATTAGTGCCTGCACCGCAACCCGAGAAGGCCTGAGCTACTCTATAAGTTGGAAATCTTTCAAGTCACGGCTCTTAGCTCATTTATATCGGGACAAACGCGTCAGAATTATCAAAGTGGAGGATGCATTGATTTGTCATAAAGGTGGATGCCCAGTATCGGCCGCACTCCTCCTTCTCTCATGGGCTACTGGCTTGTCAGAGCCCAGTCGATTTGGAAGGAGATTGTGTGCAGCGACACACAAAGTTGAACAGCTCATCTACGCATGCCACGTGTTATGTGGTCCAAAGCCGTGAGTGTGCTCAGAGCACTACAATTATCACGCCCAGCCCCGTATACGGGGCTGGGCGTGATAATTGTAG